CCTATGTGAGTGAACCACTTTAAAGACTTAGTGACCATGGCATATTTGAACCGGTATCGACCGGGGCATCTTGGTAGATGTAGGTAGGTAGGTGGATATGGGAACAGAGTAGTTAAATAGGGAACCTACAAGTGGGTTCCAGGTATGGCAGCTAGTGTAGAACCTTCGAGCAGACTACTTAAATTAGATAATGACTAAAGTTGTACAAGTGGCTAGTTGTACACTCTTTTTATAGTTGCCTCCTGTAGTTGTAATGCAACCATTAGCTGAATGTACTATTAATAAAATCCTGGGTCACAAGTATTCACCTTAATATTTAAAAAAAAAAAAAAAAACTATCCAACCATAATCTAATATAAGAATTAAGATCAGCAAATCTAGTAAAACTAAAATTTGTATTTAATTTACTTAATTTTATTATAGTTTTTATTATAAAATACTTTATTAGTATAGCTTCTAAATAATTTATTAACAAACTTGTAAATAAGATACTTATTATATAATTATTTAATCTAAAGATTTCTTTAAAATTATAATCAAAATTATATTTGCAAATAAAGAATTTTTGTAATGAAATTATGAAACCAAATAGTGATTTTTTAAATAACATTGTATATTTATTAATGAATTGAGACATCCTTCATTATAATAAATCTATCTTTTAATTATAAAATTAGCACAAATTGATAGATGTCTAAGTTAAAAAATAGTGTATCTTTTAAGACTATTGGTAATTTTAGATCTAAATAATATAACATATTATAATAATTTTAAAATAAAAATTCATATTTAAAGTTTGCTTCATTAAGCAAAACTTTTATATTTCTTATCAAATTTTTTATAAATAATAAATTTATAGTAAATAATTTATTTACTTAAGTATAATATTGTAATTGCATTACCTTTTCATATGATTTTATAGATACTTATTTTCTTATATTTTTGGTATAGTTATAATAATAATAAATTAACTTTTATAATACTTTATACATAATGCATATATTTCTAGATAATAAGCACAATTATTAAAGAAATTAACCAGCCTTTCCAATATATATATTTTATTTTTTTTAGGTTCTTTTTTAATATCATCAAATTTTATTAATAATTTATTATGATTATGTTTATATACTATATTAAATTTATATTTAGAACATATTTTTTAATATTTTTGATTATATTATTATTAATTTCAAATTCTTAGAGTGTGGTGACTTAGTGAAGTAGATAAGTTGTTAACCCTTCAAGTTGTAGGTTGTGAGTTCAAAATCCATAAACAGTAAAAATAAACTTTATAGTATATAATAAAATCATATGCTTTAGGCTTATTTTATTATTGGTGCCTAAATTGTAATACAAGTAAAATATATATAACATAAAAAAATTGTTATATAAGGCTCTAAGAAACAAGCAAGCACTCTTTAGGTCATTTTATTTTGGTGTTGTCTGCTTGTAGTAAGACATCTTAAGAAATAATAATAATGTAGTAAAATAGGAGTTGAAGTAAAATGCAAAAAAAAAAAAAAAAAAAGCATTCTTTTATATCAAATGATTAATTCACTCTAGACAATGCGCACCTGAAAAACTCTGACTTGGATGAAGTCCTTAATAATGAGAAACCAAAACCCTGGTTCTCTTCTAAAGACTTCAAGAAACTACTTACTGAAATCTATTTGAACTGCACACTTTCTAAATCTAAGAGACAAAAAATACTACATGGTGAACTATGCAATGCTAAAGTTAATTACAAGCTTCTTCAAATAAACAATATTTCTTATATGAATATCAAAACAACAGGAGTTTAATAAAAACATTAAAGACATCTTCTACTAAATATCTGCAGTCCTATGCTCTATTGACAATATTAAAAAGGTCTTATTTGAATTAAAACTATCTGATAAAGATCAGAAAGAATTACAAGAGTATGAACTATTATATAAATCTACTTAGAATGCTAAAGAACTTTTACAGAATGCATTATCTTATGCTAATAATCAATGAAGAGAATTTGCACTTAAAGCACTGTCTTCTGCTCATGTCCTAACTAAGGATAGAAAAGGTGTATTTGGTGACAAGTTTAAAAATTTAGTCAAGAAAGAAAATACCAAAACTAAACTATATAATGATGCTAATAGGGAAAAGCATAGATTTTATTTATCTAATCAAACTAACTAACAGCCATATACTTACATAGCTAAAAGATTTATCTTTAAAAGTAACTCTAAACATCAAGAATGGAATAGATTTAGGAGAACAAATAGAGTGTATAAAGTTAAACCTAATTAGGAATGACAGTTATCTATAATACTATGTCCAATACCTGAATGATTATAATACTTCAAATAAAGCTGGTACAGAAATTCAAAAATTCATAACCAACATTAATAGTAAAAAATAGTTACTTACTAGAATAGAACCAAAAACCTTCTTTAAGATTTTACCTTATAAAAAACAATTTAATAAACAATGTAAACATAAAACTAGCAAAAAAGAAGATCTTAGTTCTTCTACAAACACAAGCAATAGAACTATTTCCCAAGCAACTTTCTTGTTACATTTCCAATATTTTTATCATTAACAAGAAAAATAGAAAAAAAAGAGTAGTCTTGGATTTTTAATCCTTAAACACCTTTATAAAACACACTCATTTCAAAATAGAATCAATAGTTACATTAAAGAGTTTAATCAGAAGAAACGACTATATGGCATCAATTGATATAAAAGATGCCTTTTTTTCATATACTCTTACATCCTACTGCTCAAAAATATTTAAGTTCAATTTTTTATAACAATGCTTCTGTTTCAGATGTCTCCTTTTTGGCTTGATATCTTGTTCTAGAATATTTACAAAAGTTTTGCAACCTATAATAAAGATTCTAAGACAATTAGAAATATGCATTATAACATACTTGGATGACATGCTAATAATGGTAAACAGAAAGAAAATCTTGAAACAACACCTTAGGATGGTACAGAGACTTTTGACTGAGTTAGGCTTCATTGTAAACATACAAAAAAGCCAATTAGTACCTACTTATTTCTTAAAATACTTGGAATTCAAAATAAACTCAAGGAATATAACTATCATTTTTTTAAAGAAAAAGACAGACCAATTAAAACAGAATGCAAACTACTTTCAATGATGCATAAAATTTGTGTCAAAAAATTGGCAACATTAATAAGAAAACTTCTAGCAACTATAAATGTTATATATTGTTAACCTGTAGTTTTTTCTTTAACTACAGCAATAACAGAAGCTGCTCAACTATAGTATAATGACTATAATTTGACAGATTCTATACAAAAGTCTACACAAGACTTAACAAAATACAGAGTGATTTAAGATTTTAAGACAGAAACAACAATAGATAGTATATAAAGATACTAAATATTGCATTCAGTTTAATAACTATAAAATGTATAAAGATACTTATCTTTTTTGAAGGGTCAGAAAGTAGTGCTTTTATAGATATTTTACATATATAAATTATTACAATAATGACTACTCTATTGCTAATAAATGCTATTTATAGTAATAAAAACTAATAGATATAATAAGTTAAAAAGCAACTCTTTCTGTAGATCACTTATACTAAAACTACAAAAAAACATTTAATTATTTCTCAACTTTTTACTAAGTAAACCTTACTTGGCCCTTTAAGTAAAGTTAT